CCCCCTACTAGGTTCAAGTCTCGAGTTTCAAGGGATGAAGAGAAGGGGGGCCCCAAAAGAGAGGGGGGGCAAGGAGAGAAGCGGAGCGGGAAGCAAGAAGAACAGAACAGAACCAAATAAAGAAAAAAAAAAAATGGAACGCGAGAAAAAAAAAGGGGGGAAAGAAGTGGAGGAAAAAAGTGGAGGAAAGGAAAAATGGTCAGCAATGCAGTGCCAGAGAAAAGGTCTTTCCGGTGCCTCGCAGCAAATCGACAGACAGACAGACAGACAGACAGACAGACAGACCGAAGAAGGCGTAGACGAGGATAATGACGAAACAAGCCGAAGTCAGACATCAGATCATCAAACGCCCGTACCGAGCGCCGCGGATAGATCTGATCTGACGCATGGGTCAGAGTCCAACGATGGAGCTGAGTAATCCATCCAAAGGAGAGAACGCGAGGCCGGGTGAGTTGAGTCCATGTGGTCTCTATCTACCGTAGCAAAGCCCCGAAGCAATTGCAAGTAAAAAAAAAAAGAAGAAAAAAAAAACCTCGTCAACAACCAAGTTTCCTATTCCGTACACCCAAAGACACAATAATTGATGATATACTCCCGACCTTGCATGCATTTGAGGAGGTCAAGCGGGAATAGGTAGGGAGGGGCATACCATGAAGCGGTGAGCTCTCACGTTGTATTTGCTTGCCCCAAAACGTCTTCGCACCAAACAATGAGATTGGTTTCGACGCTATATTGATCGGAAACGATAAGGACGAAGGGCGGTTGAGAGGGCGAGAGTGATTGAGTCAGCAAACAACGGCCCGTTGTCTCGGTCCCAGACGCAAGGCCCCTTTAATGACAGCGGCACAGAGCCGAGTGTACCGTGGGCCTACCGTAGATTTGTTAATTAATTCCTTTCCAATCCATCCTCCTCGTAACTGACTCAACCCTCCCAGAAGATCAAGGCAAATCACACATAGTACAAGACTGTACAGAGTAACTGGGATGGACATGGAATCGGCAAGCTTCGTGGCCACGGTGGATGCTTGATGGATGCATGCACCCGTAATCATTCGCTCTTCCGTTGAAATACTTGATCTACTCCGTGGATGTCAGAGATAAAGCTCGTGGGGGGGGGGGAGGGAAGGGGGGGGGGAAGCTCCGTACGGTAGAGATCCTCTTTGATCTCCAGGCCAGAATTCCCTTGGTCACTCTCTGCCCGGCCCGTTGCAGAACGTTTTTTGCAAAGGGCCTTTCCCAGCCAGTGCAAGGATCTTGACAGGGCCGTCCTTGGTGTATGCTCAGGCTCCAAATTCAACTGTCATCGACTCATCCCATAGGGCTCAGCTGCATGCACGATTGACTTAAACCTAATCTCCAGGGGCTCTCCTGGCCTAGCACCCTCGGCTCTCCTTATCAATCATTTTGTTGAGCCGACCGGGCCAACAACGACCTCATCACTCCTCCTCCCCTCAAGCAGCAAAATTCCGAAAAGCTTGGCTCCAGCTTGAGGGATTTTTGTCGGAAATCTTGGCAGTTGTGCAATGTGGCTGAAAGATGAGTGAGTGAGTGAGTGAGTGAGTGATTGCCCGCCCGACTGCCCGCCCGACTGCCCGCCCGACTGGACGCAGGGCAAGAATTCCGTACGGAGAGTATAATAATGAAACATATCATAATGGTTTGGTTTTGATTGGCGTGCGATACGATCTGTTTGTTAAGGCCCCTGTGACCTGGGCCAATTCGGAGTTCCGAGCATGCCCGGGATCATGATGCATACTGTAAGCTACTGTAAGCTACTGTAAGCTACTGTACTGCAGCCTGCAGCCTGCAGCCCGCATCTCCGTAGGGCCCTTCCTACTAACTTTCGTTCCGCGCCGCTCTCACGGGCGGGAATGCAACGAATGCTGCACCCAAGCGGATACCCGCATGAGCAGATGATAATGTGATCACTATAAAAGGCTCCTTAGCAATGCAGAGCGGTGTGAAGGGGAGCTTACAGAGTCCAGACTTCGTATACGGTACTCCGTAGTCAGCGTCTACGAGGAGAGGGTCTTTTTGCCGGCGCCAGCTCCGACGCCGACGCCGACGCCGATGCCGACGCTCACGGCCATGCATGATGTGTTGTCATTTGTCAAAATCTCGCCCAGATTGCACACTCTGCATGTGTACTCCGTAAGTACGTAGTACTACTACTTGTACAGTACTAGTAAGATTTAGGGGAAATGAAAGTCAACCTCGGGGTGGCCTGTCCTAGGAAAGCTAAGCCGACAGACAGGCTCTACTCGTGTCAAATGGTGTTAGTCTCCCGACGATTTGCTTCGCGCCAGGCTTTGGACTGTGGACCGAACAGCAGAACACTCTGCAAATCGCCCCCATCATACTACTACGTACGTAGCTTGATGGTGGTGTCGAGAGAACAGAGGTGCGGGCACCGATCCCTCCAATCTTGTGCTTGTGGCCCTTGGTTGGTTGGTGTTGTGCTCTGCTCTAGCTCATGTTGGAAAGTCAGGCCCTTGCACAGAACTATCGACATTCATACTGTAGTACTGTAGTAGTAGTATTTAGAGTTACTACCTCCCAGGCGTAATAGTAGTAATTACCGCCTGGGGGTTAGGACACCAAGGGGTAAAGTGGAGATTTAAACTTTTGAGCCACCCTCAGACGGTAATTATTAGGGCTGTACTGTGGTAGGTAGAAGTAGACAGTACGTACCGTACTACGTACTACCGGTACGTATCTCGAGAATTCAGAATGGTCATAGTCCAGGATGATCCCCTCATATTTTAAATGAAACATGTGACCAGAGACATGCCACGATGGATCTGGCATGCTCGATATCTCGCTGTCTCGGATGCACCATTTGTCTGGGGAATGCGTAGTATATGCCGTCCCCGCTCTACTACTAGTACAGTAAAACTTAGCAGGAATGGAATGTCTCGAGAACGATGACGGAGTAGGTAATGGAGCATGTCTATTGTTGCACGGTTTCAGCTGCCCGTCTTCCATTCCTTCTGCCAGGAGCGGCTGCGTGACACAGCCGCCGTCACCAGGATCGGGGGGAATCCTCGCTCCGGGTCGGGCAAGGGCGGTGGCACGAGCCGTGGTGGAGACGCACCCTTTGCTGGACCAAATGAACGGCCGTGCTTCCCCTGCCTTCATTACAGTACTACTACTACTACTATATTCTGGAATGCGGGATCGGGGTCTATCTCATGGCCGTGTGATGCAGCCTTGAGCAGCAATACTTGTATGAGACTGCATATATTGTAGTAGTAGCAGTAGTAGCGTGGAACGCACCCAGACGGGCGCTGTAGGTAATCAATTTGACATTCGTACGCCCTGTAGCTGCGTTTGCAACTCAATCATCGGTGATCCGTGCAACAGGCCCGACTTGCCGGGCTGGGCCGAGATTATTTTAAGGGATGGCCTGGGAAGACGAATTGTGGAAGAACCAAGCTTCTGCATGCCCGAGCTGCGGGAATTCCGCTCCTCCCGTCGACCTCGTTTGCATCCGTGGAATCATGAGGCCCCGGGTCTGTGGGCCCTTGGAGAATCATGAGGTTGCAGCTGGTGCACTCTTGATGGGTGGGTGACGGGCAAACGGAGCGCCGCCTTGCCGTGATTGTTGAGAGACATGTACCGGTATCCTGAATCACCGTGGACAACGTGAGGACGATAGTGCTTGCGTGAAGCTGCTCGGATAGCATAGCATCGCCGGCTGGGTGCTATCTCTCCTCTTGAGCAGCATGGATGGCAACTTCTTGTATTATCAGTTCGGAGACGAAAGTGAAGAGGAGGAGGAGGAGAGGCGCACCACTGACGGACGAAAGTGTGTGCGCGGCTGTACCCCACAATACTCGTCCGTAGATGCGATGCAGTGTCATGGAGCGGCCCTTGGTGTACAGCGGCGTGGATGCTGGGCTTGCATATGTACGACAGTGCCACGACTCGGGAGGTTTGTTGGTTTGATGGTAAGTTGGTAAATTGCTGGGCTGAGAAGTTCGATCACGGAAGGGCGTGGGAGGGGAAATGGAAGAGAGGTGGATGTTGGATGTTGGATGTTGGATGTTGGAATAAGACGCATCTCTCCCTTCCGCAACTGGACAGAGCTGCCCTACTTAGCTAGATCGAAGCTCACCTCACCTCATCCAGCATAGCATAGCCGAGACAATCAATATGTAGTATCAATACCAGTATCTGATCACTACCTAGATACGGAAATCAGCCAAGTTGGAGGTGCCTTTTTATAACTTGTATTGTATTGTAGTAGTAGTGGTAGTAGTAGCAGTAGTGGTGGTGGTGGTGGTCGTCGTAGTATCTGCATGCCTGCCCAGAGCCATGTTCACGCAGGAAAGTAGAGTTGACCTTCATGTCTCAAGCTTGGAAGAGTTGCCTCCTACCTTAGCCGGCTTGCTGTTAGTGATGCTGTTGGTGATGCTATTGCTATTGCTATTGCTACTGCTATTATTGCTCCTGCTGTTACTGTGATTGATGCGTGTATTGTCTTTCTCTGTTTGTTCTTGTCCCCCCTCCTCCCCTTCTAATAATATGACCAGTTCCCGACCGCCATCTATTGCGCATCACGCAGATCGTGTCTATCGTACTTCTACTCCCATGATCAGATACTCTAGAAGTAGGTGGATATCTACCCGACATCGACATCGACATCGACATCGACATCGACATCGACATCGACATCGATCATAGCATCCCACCGCATTGATTATCTCTTTCGAACCGGGCTCCCTTCCTACATCATCGGTCACCACCAGTCGATCCGATCAGCACACGATCACCGCCCTCTTGCCCACCGCCCATCTCCACCAGCAGCCCAAGCCTCCCCTCCCACCCCGAGCGGCTATCGAGTTTTGTTGGTTTGGGGAAGTCACTTCACCATAACAGAACCCAACAGAAGCCAACTGTCCTGCACTGCACTGCACTGCACTGCACTGCACTGCACTGTCCTGTCCTGCACTGCACTGTCCTGCCCTGCCCTGCCCTGCCCTGCACTGTCCTGCACCACAGACTCCCAGCGGGTGTTCCAGCGGATACTCTGCTCCGTACACCCTAGAGGACCCTGTAACTTGGGTCCTGGAAGAGGTCCTGGGGCTGTCATTGGCTGTACCGTACTCTCTGTGCCCAGGGAAGCCTGTCCAAGATCAGCAGCATCGTACAGGGATCCAGGGCATTTGGGCCACTGCAGTTGGGGAGGGGGATTTTAGATTTTGGATTTTGGTTTTTGGATTTTTGGATTTTTGGATTTTTGGATTTTTGGTTTCTGGTTCGGGTTTGGACTAGTTTTTTACTGGTTTTTGCCTCGGAGCTCGGCAGGCAGAGAGCGAAGTGTACTTACTGGACGTGCGGAATTCAGATGCCTCTGGCTCTGCCTTTTCTGACAGTGCTAAGTAACAGAAACGCCGTGATCCGACCGAGCATCGCGCAAGATAAACAAACCAACCCACCAACCCACCAACCCACCAACGCCCGGGCTCCTGCATCCATTCCACCGCCACAGCCACAGGGAGAGCAACAACAGCAACCATCCCAGAATCCCGTTTTTCTTCGTCGTCTGCCCGCGCGTGGTATCCCAGCTCAGCTGCTCAGCGGGCTTGGATGGGACGTAGGGAACCAGGCTCTGCCTTTTTATTGACCGACCACGCCAGCACAGCCAACCCTCCTCTTCGTCGTATTCGCATCCCAGTCGATGCGGTCGGTCAGTGCATCTCCGCTCCTGATCGATCAATACCTACGTAGTACTACGGACTACGTACAGTAGGTAGTACTTGACTTCTACGAACTCTCGTCGGGAAGGCATAATAATAACAGATCGTTATACCCTTTTCTGATCATCTCATCTCCTGTCATCCCGTCTCGTCCTATCTTCGGTCGCGGTCGCTAGTCGCTAGTCGCTAGTCTCGTCTTCATCTTCCCGGCACGGACAGATTAGTGGAGGCGGAAAGTAGCTGAGGTACATTAGCCTGGTACTTGTATGTTACTGTACGGAGTACTTACGTTACAATTACTACGATGTCCCCTTTCCCCGAACCCTCATCACCATACCAGACGGCTATGTATGCCCTTGCACATGCCCTTGCGCATGCACCTGCACCTGCACCTGCACCTGCGGGCCGTGATACGTCGCCGCTGACCCAGGCAGACCTGGGTCCTGGCCCGACCCGACTGACGCCCAGACGTTGCCCGACGGGAGGCTTTGTTCCATTGTAGCCTTGACTTCCCCGCCGAAAAAGAGTGGGTTTGATGGGGGATTGGATTCGGTAGTAAAGTTTAAATTTTCTATCTTCTTATTACTAGTACCTACTACGGCTTTTTTCTTCTTTTTCTTTGGCTTTCCAGGCAGAAGCACGAAAGAAGAGAAGAAGGAAAGCAAGAAAGCAAAAGAAGAAAAGAGGAAACAACTTACATCAGGGAACGCGGTAGAAGGAGAAAGGAGCCCACAAAGAAGTCCACAAAGAAGTCAACGGAGAAGAAGAAAAGCAAGAAGGAAAGCAAGAAGGAAAAGCAAGCAGAAAAGCAAGCAGAAAAGCAGAAAAGCAAGAAGAAGAAGAAGAAGGAGAAGAAGAAGAAGAAGAAGAAGAAGAAAAAGAAGGGGACCGAACTCAGAGTCAGAACCCAAAAGAAGACGGTTGGACAAGCATCAGCGAGGTTTCGAAGGGCAGGGCCGGTCCACCCCTCATCCCTCCACACTGAACGGGGTCTGCGTGCATCTGGATCCCTGCCTGCCCGACCTTCCAACTTCCCCCCTTCCCCCCCCCCCCCTAACCAACAGAGTCAAGCCGAGCAGTCGTCCCCGGATCAAGAATCATCATCCATCCCCATCGCCATCGACGACTAGGTACTGTATCTACTCTACGGTACTACATCCACATCACATCCATATCCACATCCATATCCATATCCACACCCACATCCACACCCACATCCACGCCCACACCCACACCCATACCCACACCCGCACCCAACCAGAATCCCTATCCACGTCCCATCACAAACCTTCTATTAATATCACTATCACTATCACTATCATTATCATTATCATTATCATTATCATTATTACTATTACTACTACCACTACTACTACTACTACGACGACGACGACGGATATCATCATCATCATCGTCAGCCATTAAACCAGATTGGCTTCCCGTCCTTCCCGCCGTCCCTCGCACACGGATACAAGCCCATCAGCCTCCCCCCCCTCCCCNACCCCCCCCCCCCCCCCACCAACCTACTCAGGCTACTTACTCTCCAACCCTCACCTCTCTCTTCGCCCAACGCTTCGCCCAACGCGCGATCCCTCTGCCCGGCCCTCGACATACCTCAACAATTCATCAATCTTTCACATTCACTCGCTCACTCGCTCACTCGCTGATTCATCGTTCGTTCGCTCGCCGATTCTTGGTCCACTGTAAAAGCGCTCGTCTCGCATCGCGCCGTCTCGCCTCGCCTCGCCTTGCCTCGCCTCGTGGGTCCCAGGAAAAGAGGCCGCCTAGGAGGTCATCACCCCGACCCAACAAACATACTGACGACGGACTATTGCCGGTTCCGGGCTCGTGCCTCGACGACCTTCTCCTCCCACGCCTCGAGAGTCGCCAACAGACACCCACGCGCATTTAAAGCGGAAGTTGGACTGGCACTCGCATCACTCCGACAAATAAGAAAGGGAGAACACGGCGCGCCAGCACTCGCGTTGGACTGGCAAATATACCGCAATCCGCGCACGCTAGAGGGATAAGAACAGAGAGGAGTGGTTATCATAGAGACCAGTCTAGGCGACCAGAAAGACCGCGGGAAAATCCTGACAACAGTCCCCTTTCACAAGCCTCTGCCGAAGAGGGAGTGAGTGATTGGACGACAAGACCCATCGCAAAGCGGATCATTGTCATCGTCAAGTGCCCATTATCGGCGATAGTAGCAGAAAAGCTGGAGACCGAAAGTCTGTTGTTGCGCTGCGGCTCGTCATTGATGCTGTACCATCTACCCCGCTAGAAAACGCCCTTACGGAAAGGGACCCGAAGGAAAGAGACTAGAGGGAAAAAAAGACCAGCGGAGGGGCCAAGTCAAGTGTCGAGTCTCGCCAGACCCGCGGCGACATCCAGAGGTACGTTGCCCAGCACGGAATATTGGCGAGCGTAACTATAACTGTGACTGTGATTGTGACCTACCTGTCTCTGCGAGCGTGCGCTCTCGCCGTCGTATCTCCGGAGTGTGAGGTGGTCAGACGCGGATTTGGGTCGGGAAAGGAGAGTTTGTGCTGACTTGGGTTTGTTTGTACGTGTAGACAGATCAAGGCGAATCGATACTGAAGCTCCTTCTTGCGAAGCGTCGGTAAGACTTGCACGCAGCGCAGCGCAGCACAGCACAGCACAGCACAGCGCATGCTCGGATCCCCAACTCCAGTTTTTCCTCCTACGGGCAAACAAAGGAAACCAGCTCGCTAGCTTCTCTGTCATCTGAACTGCGACCGCGGGAAGGTACGACACGGCCCTCGCGAGTAGGCCAGGCCTTCTAACCCCCCCAGCAGGATTTGCGCTATCATCACGTCGTCTGAACACCAAAAACTTACGTTGACGACGCTACCCAGCGGCACTACCCATATTCAACAGAATCCATTCCTCCGCACCTGAGTACCACTTAGTTAGTTGTATCAATACCAACCCAGCACTACCTGGGTCTGACCGGTCCATCCCCACTCTGAGCGAATCCCACACCATTAGGGATAGGCAAGCAAGCTCTAGCTAGCCAGGACTGCAGAGGTCGAATTATTTCCCTTCAATTCAAGTCAAGATAAATAGCCCTAGGTGCGCACTCACTTTTTCCACATCGACTCGCATTCACTCCATCTCATCCATTCGTACTCTCTACATCTGATTCTGCTTACGCCCACGTCCTCCCAAACGCCTTGATCTCGACGCTGATCTCTTTTTTTTTCAGTCTCGTCCTCGCCGACAACCGCCTTATCTTTCCCTTCCTGAGCACCGACTTCCACACGTCCCTTCCAGCAATCATTTCTGTCGGCGCCCACCCACGGGAAGCGGCCCGTCCCCATTCGTCTAGACAACATTCGACCCCTTCACGAGCAACTCCAAACCGTCACCGTGGCGATCCATCCCTTCAAAATGGCATATCCAGGTGATCAGGGTGGCTATCCGCCACCACGTGATCTGCAGGAATCCCAGTACCCCCCTCCGCCAGGCGAAGAGGAAGACCGCGCAAGAGGCGCATACCATAACCGTGGCCCGTCGGGCGGCAGCCCTCTCACCTTGCCATCTATCTCTGGCTACGACCAGCCATATCAGCTTGCCCCTGGGTACCCCGTGGACCCCAGAGGGTATCAATCGCAACCCTATCGGGCTCCCCCTGGACAGTATGACGAGAGAACCTATCAGCAAGACTATGGCAGAGGTGCACCGCAAAACATGGCTTTCACTCAGTCTGCGCCTCGTCAAAGAACTGCAATCGCGTGCAGATATTGCAGAAGAAGAAAGGTAAACCGTTCGCATTTCTTTTCTAGTATAAATACCCAAGTCAAAACTACCTCCTCCTCCTCCTCCTCCTCCTCCTCCCCCTCCCCATAGAAGGCTTCTCACAACTGACCGTTTCCCCAGATTCGCTGCTCCGGATTCGAACAAAATCCCGAAGGCCGATGCTCGAACTGCCAACGCTTCCAGCAAGATTGCATCTTCACCCCCGTCTCCGCCCAAGCCCAGGCCTTCGTCCCAGCTCATGCCGTCTTTCCCGGGATGCGAAACATGGGCGTTGGACCTGACGGCCGTCCGAGACCAATGGTGTACCCACAGGGAACACAACTCTTCGGAGCACACGGTCAGCCATTGGGACCCGCTCCTCCTCCGCAACAAAACTCGCCTTATGAGTACCCGGCGCCCTCCCCCACAGAATCTTACAGATCCTTCACCGATGAACGAGGTTCTCAACCCCCACAAGAATCACGCAAGCGCCCGTTGCAAGAGCCACATCCTTCTATACTCCCGCCACCAATCCCTGGTCAACCTATTTACACACGTGCCGATAGTGCCGGCCGTCGCTCAGCCGCGGATGACGAGTTGCGCCTGCCTCCTGTCACTCCAACCGCTCCCTCGGCAGGAAATTACTCTCCTGGGTCCTCCAGTTCGTCTCAATCTGGTCTCCAGCCCCCCGCTCCGTCAGGACTGTCTTCCATTACACGCACCACACCTCCCCGATCAAGTCCCAAAGGTGGTGAAGGAAACAGAAGCGACCCCATGAGCCTTGGCAACATCATGGAACGTCGACCGGATACGGAAATTGATCGCGGTATGCTGGGACGTCTGGATCGGAAGGCGAAGTAAATACTACGAGTTGGGGGTGTCCTGGCAGTATGGTGGCTTGAAGACGACTTTCGGTACCCTGGGCTCTGTCATAGATGATGCTCCTCCTTGGATTGTGGCAGATGACGAATGTGCTACTACCCCCTCCGATCCTCGGTCACTCGACCACACCCTGGGGTTCATAACGAGCCAGCACATTACGCCAAGATGAGGCAGATCAGCCGGCTGGCCTGCCCTCACCTATCCTTCTCGTCTGTGCTTTTTAATTTACTGGATATGGGAAACTCTGCTCTCTCTTGCTTTACTCGCACTGGTACTGGAATGGGTAAGCACGGAGTCAGAACTAGAACGGAAACGCCTCACGGCAATAAACGGGTGTTTGGGTGGAATCGAAAATTCTTTTTCCCTTTTTACTCTCCCCCCCTTGCCCCCCCTTTTTTTTTTTTTTTTTTTTTTGGGCGAAGGTGCATCATTCTGCTCTGCGTTGCGGGAATCCTCGACTTTCTCAATTTGCTTTCTCGGGCGGAATGGTCACATTTGCTGGGAGGCCAGGCTGCACTGCTATGGGGTTTGGGAGAGTTGGGAGGCTTGCTCTATGCTGCATCTGCTGGGTGTTCGCTTTGGTGGATAGATGGGATGTGGCATATGGCTTTATGTTGGGCGGGTGGGGGCGGCTCCAGTGGGTTGGGTTGGGTTGGGCTTCATTGATTTGGACCAGCGAGCGACCAGACCAGCGTGTGCCTTGTAGCATCATCAAAAACACACAACCAATCATCTAATAAAGAAATCAATCAATACGCAGTCATTTTGCAGACATTGAATTCCCCTCGGGCGAGTGAGTCTCCATCGATGCTTATGGAAATATTGTCGTGTGTCAAAATAAATCACGTGCCTGATCTACCCCGCATCATCCCCACCCCACTGGGGTTTAAGTTGGACGCGCTAGCTACCGGTAACCTACTCAATCGATAACGACCGACTTCTTCGTTATCATTGCTTCTCCGTGTCAGGCCCACCGGAATCTGAAATCCAAGCAACCAGTCTCAACTACAACTACCAATTGTGGTATCGAACCTATCCCCTCTGCCACGGCTGAATACAAGCAAGACATCTGCTCGTCTACCATGACGAAACTCATCCTCCTGCCGAATGAGATCCTACACCATGTCTTCCGCCAGGTCGACCCGGTGGATTTGGCGCACTTATCCCGGAGCTGCACGCTCCTGAACAAAAACATCGCGGGTGATGGGCAACTGTTCAAGGCTGTGTATTGCTATATGCTGGTGAGTCCTTGACCGGGACATGGACGTGTCCAATTGGGGATATCAAGACTAACTAACGATGACTACGGTAACAGGACGCACCTCCAGAATCTCAAGCCAAGACGTTTGATTACAAGAACCAGTTGCGGGAGTTCGTAAAGTGTAGGCGCATCTTGGACAGCAGCACCGAGAAGCCAATGATCTTCAACACCCCAGATGTAAGTTCCCCGTCGATTCGTCCATGGCTCTACTGATATATTGCAGGAGGAGGCTCTCTTGTTCTTAGCAGACTGGACGACAAGATTCCTGCGTACGGCTCACAGCACGAAGTCTCGGAACCTCGGATTCCTGCACGCGTACTTCTCCCGCCTCAACCCCAAAAACCTCACCCGCTTCCTCTGCCACTCCTCAACCTGGGACCGCGCCCGCCTCCTCAACCTCAACCCCTTATGCGAAACCCCCTTCGCCGTGCGTCAAGCCTCCGCCAAGCTCCACGTCCTGTACGGCAAGCCGCTCCTCAAACCCACCAGGAACGCCCAGCGAAAGGGCCCGACTGTCGACCTTACCCCGAATCACAAGGACCCTTACCCCTACGCCGTCAGCAAGGTCTACGATCTTCGCAACTACACGGAAGAGACTATGTGGGGCCCGTATCTGGCAGACGGATACGCGAGCGTCGACTGGGAGAAGCTCGAGGCGGTGATGCTGCTGTTGGGCTACAATGCGGAGGTGTTCAAGGAGAGTGTGGGCGAGAACATGCTGCCTGCGGGCTTCAGTTGGGATGAGGGCTGGGCGGGAGCTACCCCCGGCAGTTATACGAGTACGGATATATATGGGAGCAGTCAAGTGGAGGAGTTCGAGGAGGTCATTGAGGGGGAGGGGGATGAGGCGACGGAGCCGGTGGTGGATCCGTATAACATTGGGGGGACGTGGATGAGGGTCAGTGCCCCTCTCGGAAACATGAAAGGGTACTTTTAAAATTCTAATTTCACATCGGTCTAGGTCGTTTGTTTCCTGGACTTCCACGAGCTCTTCGCATATAATTTCACAAACCCTGCGACGCCTACCGACCGCCCAAGACCTGCTCTCCAGACGACAGAAGCCATCCGCCTCATCTCCATGGAGCTTCGCGTTACGCATACTGAGCCGCCTGGACCGGACGACGGGCAAGAACTGCCTGTTGTGTTTTTCGAGGGCATCAGTCGGAGTCTGCATTCGCCACGGGACGTGAATGCTAATTCGAACATCAAGGGCTGTGTAAGATTGACGAGGGAGGGGGAGGTGAGATGGCAGAGTCTGAGTATTTACAACGGGTATGCCGGTCTTCTCAAAGCGTTGCAATCCAGCCGAGCAATGTTGCGTGGGGGACTGCGGCTAACGGCAAGTCAAATAGCGAGGAGAGATGGCGCAGCGAAGGCATTCAAGTCGGTGGTGTTGGCTCTGCCCGTGGTGTCCTAGGCCATTGGTTCGACAAGTAAGTCACTCTACCCTTCCCCACCAATCATATAGGATGTCACACTGACGGACCTCAAGAGACCACGACGTCCACGGCCCAGCAGGTCCAACGGGCTTCTACAAGATCAGCGACCAGATCAAGAACTACGCATCGGACTCCGACACTGAAGAGCCGCCTGTCTTGGACGTTGAGATAGATGACGACGTCGAAGATGTAGAGGAGGTTCAGGCTTTCATCGGCCAGCTGGCGGAAGCAATTGGCATGAATATGCCTGGGTTACATGCCCACGTGCACATTGAGAATGCGAATAATTCGAATAGCGACGGAGATGGGGGTATTAATGGTGGTGGAGGGATTGCGGGAGGCAATGGCACCCTGCAGGGTATCTTGAGCGCCAATGAGCACGAGCATGAAGCAGAGGAGCGGGGCTATGCCGCTGACAGAAACGGGTTCTCCTTCGATGACTGAGATTGGACAGTAGTAGTTGTGAGTTTTGTTTGGTGTACGATATACATGGGACATGGATAGAGAGGATCGTGATTTCTGTTATTTGGATGGCGTAGGTATTTAGGGATCTTTCCGCGCAGTGGGCGGTTAATTTGACTTGCTATCGCTATCGCTGTCTCGTAAGAGAGAGGGAGAGTTAGTGGATAAATAGAATGAATGAAATGGCAACAATAAGCTCCCTCCTTCCATCTTCCATCTTCCATCTTCCATCTTTCATCTTCCATCTTCCATCTTTCTCTCCGTTCCATTTGGCACCACCACCACATCACATTAGTACCCACATCACATTACCACGTTGACAACATTCAAATCTAGCCAAGCTAGCTAGCTAGCCAGCTCCTGGGCCCGGCCCGGCCCAGCCCAGCCCATCCTCCTCTCTGCTCTGCTCTGCTCTGCTCTGCTAAAACTCCCAATAATAATAACAACAACAACAACAGGGAGGCGGGGGGGGGAGAAGGTTAGAAAGGTGCAGAGGCAGAGGCAAAGGCAGAGGCAGAGGCAGAGGCAGAGGCAGAGGCAGAGGCAGAGGGAGGGTGAGTAGAGAAAGGGAAAAGGAATGAATGAACCACCCGACTTTCCAAGCGAGAGATTGAATCGTACTACTGAACAAGAGAGAGTAAGAGAGAGAGAGAGAGAGAGAGAGAGAGAGAGTGTGTGTGTGTATAAAATAATAGTGGGCCTTGACGTCGCACCTTTTAGGGCCCTTTCTTCCCCTAACTACCTAACGTGGGCGAGAAAAAAAGTTGTGGCCTGCGAGAAGGAGAATGGAGAAAGAAGAAAGAAGAAAGGGAAAAAGCGAAAAACGGCGGGGGACGTCGACTACTTACTTGTATTGCTTATCACACCTTATCTTCCTCTACCGCGTATTCTCTCTTTTCACAATTGAATGAATGAAATCATGTTGTGGATCGAATGGAATCGGCGGGGAATCGGCGGGGAAACCATCGGGGCAGATGTTGGAAAGTCGATTTGATTGATTGATTTTGATTGATTGATTGATTGAAGCTAGATGGAATGAATGGGAAGCGGCTGCGGAGTTGATGGGGTGTCTTTTTTGAATTCTTTTTTTTTTTTTTTTGATAGGGCAGAGGGGAGGGGAGGGGAGGAAGGTAGAGGAGAGGAGAGGAAGGTAGAGGAGAGGAAAGCAGCACAGCGAAGAAATAAAACATTGACGTAAATTAAAACAGATAAATAATAAAAAAGTATCTTTAAAAAAGGGAAAAGCAATTAAGTAAGTAAATAAAGTAATAAGTAAGTAAGTAAATACGTACGTATATCATGTTAAACTTATACGAGATTTCAAATCTCGAGAATTGGAAGAAAAGGGGAAAGAAGAAAAGAAGAAAGAGAAGAAAGAGAATCGATAATGAACTTGGATTTCTAGATTTATTAATATAGATATATATAAAAAAAAATTTTTTTTAGTTAAATATATATATATATATATATATATATTTAAGTTTTTTTTT